ATTCATTCTATCGTATGTCGTCTCATTGCCGTGGGTACAATCCCCTCCATGCATCATCAACCAACCAAAGGGTATACTCTGCAAGCCTGCCCCCTATACTACTCTCCTTCCCCCAGTCTTCAGCACACAGTCGCTCTCCCTCTCTGGATCTAAAGTCTCCAGCTGCTCCATCACTCCACGTCATCATCTCTGGCTCCATTTCAGGCATCACTGCTTCTCTGGGTAGGGTCCCGCTCTCTGCTCTTCTCCCTTGGTCCCAGGGACCTCCACTCCTAGACTGGAAAGTCAATCACTCCCTTCCTTGCTATAAAAGTCTACCTTTACATTTCCAACCCTCACAATCAGTCCTGATAACAATCATTCACTATTGTATCACAAGAGACCCGTCTGCATTTCATTTCATCAGCCCCACCTAGTCAGACTGGATACTACTCACTGGAGAGTCTACCTTCCTCCACGCCCTCTGGGTCTAGGTCTCCCTTGTTTCTTGAGGTGCCTTCTGAGTATACAGTGAAATCATTATGATTTGGAGGTAAAGGTCATGAGGAAGGGAAATCACAGGTAACACCAAACTCTTGGTAACAAACACAGTTAGTTAAAAGATGTTTTTCAATGGGGATTTGATGTTGCTGTTCAAAAGTATACAAACAGTGTCCCAGTGTCGGTGCACACTAAATTCAAGATAGTTGACAACTACTGAATTTAAAATGGGCACCAGGTTATTATTAATGCCTTTGTGTCTGCTAATCAGAGCCTGTCCAGAATCACCTGGCACAAATGTTGAATCTGTCCTCCAGTCCCTGAGCAGACCAGCTCCCTCCCACCCACCACACCCCTGATAGCCACCTCTGGGTCAGGACTGAGCCTAAAGCATTACCTTCCTCGCCTTATTTTCCCTGCTCTCCTTCACCTGTCCCTCTACTCTCCAGAGAGCCCTTGGATTGGCCTGGCTTGCCCCTTCCCACTGGCAGTCCTAGCATTTCCTCCCTGAGGGCTTGGGGTGACCTTTTAGGGCACCTCATATAGATGGAGAAGACACCTGGTCTACTAAAGGTGGAAGGAGATGCTGAAGAGTCTACTGGTGGCTGCTGCCATCTTGTCCCTCCTTTGTTACAGAACCAACCAACCAGCTGAGGGAAGCTCCGGAAAGAGACAGTGCCCAATCCTGCCTCTATCACACAGAGCTGCTCCCTGGGAACCAAGTGACCAAGGGTGGCCTCCTTGGTGCCCACAGGGTCTTTTGGGTGTTTGACTTCCCCTGATGGAACCAAGAGGGAGGTGCTTCAGTTGGTTTCCTATAGTTTTCCTCTCCTCTGGGGAGGAGCTCAGGTCCCAACTCTCCTCTGGTGGTGGCCAGTTCCTCTGTGGCCTCAGTATCCAGCCTGCCGCCATACTGAGGGATAGTGTTGACCGGGTGCCATCACCAGGGTCGGCACCCAGCTGCTGATCCAGGCTGGGCGGGCTAACCTTGCCCACTGGGCCACAGAGCAATCCCGGGGAGGAGACCCGGCTCCGCCTGCCCCTCGGGAGGAAACGGCTTCATAGGGCTCACCTGCGCTGGGCCGCGGGCTACGTGCTGACGCCCCCGGCGCTTGGGCTACTTCCTGCCCAGGAACGCCAGGCTCTGCTGCGCCACGTGGCCGTTTCTCTCGGCAGACGACACACAGGCCTGCCCGGACACGCGCCTCCGAGGTAAGCGACTGGCGAGGCTCCGTGTCTGCGCCAGCCTCGCTGGCACCGAGGGTGCGGGCCGGGTCGGTTGGCGGTGGGGTGTCCGCGCCGCCCAGTCACTCGGGTCACAAACCATGGTGGCCAACCGGCCACCATGACGGGTCCAGGCTAGCCTGGCAGCAGTGAGAGAGATAATACCTGCCGTCCAGACAACCCCCAGGGAACACTTGTGAATTTCTTCAAAATGCAGTGTCTGTGGGTTATCTGTATGCGTTACATCAGGGTGGTTGTTGGTTGCCCTCAGATCACAGCATTTACGGCGCTACTGGACTGCAGAACCAGGCATTGCCAGAGCCCGCACGTCTGAAGGGTGGTTGCTGGTGGAGTCCACCGTCCTGGCTATTGGTCAGTCCATCTCAGAGACGGTTGCCCTCAATTTTTGGTGACCCTCTACCTTACCAGCCAGGATGCTTTTTTCTGGCGATTAGTCTTGCCTGGTTCCATGTCCAAAGTGAGCAATTCCAAGTCTCACCATCTTTCTAGTGTCATTTCTTCTAAGACTGATAAAAATACACTTAGTTAAAAAAAAAACAAAAAAACAGAAAAAGGAATAGAAGGACAACAGAAATCTACCCAATCTCTATTGAATTCCACTGCCCCTTCCCAGAACAAATGAAGAAATCAAGAAAACTATTTGAAAAAGTGTCAGGCGTTTTACCTAATACTACATATATAAATATACTGAAGGGGTTGTGTTAACCAAGAAATTCAACCCTGTGTTGTCAGCGTGTTTTTTGATGATTGGTTTTAACATTTCCAGAAAATCATATTCTGTGGATGGAATCACCTGCTCTTGGTTGGGCGCTTGTCTGTAGTTGTGTTTGTAATTAATTACAGTGGGGGTTGCGTGAACATATATTTTTGTATAATTTTTCAAGGATATACAAAGGTCAACTTCCTTGTGATGAAATTTTTAGGTCTCAAAAGTATACTGTGTTTACATTTTTGATGAGTGCAATTAAAGCTTTTCTAATGGTGACATTGGCTTGCTCGTTCTCCATTGGTATATGGGACTGTTTGTTACATCTTCACCAACATGGGCATCATTGAGTGGTTTTGTTTGTTATCAATCACAGGTGTGAGAAATACTCAATGGCTTGATTTGCTGCAGCTGCTGTTTGCCTCCAGGCTGGCATCTTGTTGTTTGTTGTTAAGTGGATTCTGAGTCTTGGCAACCCCATGTGTACTTAGTAGAACTTCTCCTTAGAGTTTTTAAGACTGTGACCTTTGGGAAGCAGATTACCAGCCTTAGCTTCCAAGGTCCCTCTGCGTGGGTTTGAACCAGCAAACTTTTGGCTGGTAGCCGAGCACTTAATCATTTGTGCCAACCAGGGATTGAAGCAAATCCTTAACGTACATTATTGCACCCACTGAGGTGTGGGTGAAGCAGCCACATTTCATAGATGAGCAAATTGAGCTGTACCTTGGCTGATGGCAGCTGCCTCTCTTGGTGCGTTCAAACGGTATTAACCACGGTGTCTTCACAGCCTTGCATTTTGTTCAAGAGAAAACAACCTGCCCACCAGGGCATCTCAAGGCAGTCACTCCACCTGCCCAGCACGCAGTCTGTCCCTGGCTGGGTTTAAAGCTGGTGTGGCTGGGCAGGCTGTCTCTTGCTGCCACGTGCATCTTCCCGGCTCTAAACAACGCTTGGGTTGACCGCCTTTGTGCTCACAGCCTTTTCCTTCTTTGGGTAAATTCCCAGGAGGGGATCTCAGAGTGAAAGGACACAGCGGTCATGTTTGCAACATTCCAGGCAGCTGGCTGCACCGCCCGCCCTCTCCCTGTGCTGTGATTCTTTGAGACTCTCATCTCCTCTGGGTAGCCTACCCAGTATCCCAGTTAACTCAGGGACACATCTGTGGGGTGGGCTTCAGGTGAGGGGTGAATGAGGTTTCGCACCCACCTACCCCACGGCCTCCCACCAGTTTGAAATTGCTGGGGTCTGCCATGACATTCACCTGCATTTTCTTGGATCTGTGGGATGTGGGTCCCCTGTCCCATAGGACAGTCCGTGTCTTTGCATGAGAGTGGGGAGTTGTTTTTTGGACTGAGATCCTGGTTTGGCCCCACAGGCTCTGAGTCTCTAACTGGGGCTGAGTGAGACTGAATGCGTGGTGAGGTGTAGCATATGTTGGGGTTAGTGGTATGTGACCTCCTAGAACTCCCTTTCCTT